GTTGATGTATAACACTCACTGATATGATACCGAAGATGGATATTACCTGGGTTGGTGACGATCTCACAGACGGTCTTATCGGAACTATCACTGTTGGTCTCAACATGTACGTAGTTTCTCCTCGCATATCTATCATGGTCGTTTCGAGTCCTGATTCTTTCAATCTTCAGGTCCTACACAAGTCTAGAGCTCAGCACTCAGATCGCCGAGTTTGATGTCGAGGAATATGAAACTGAGGGACTTATTCCCTCCGCCTCCGCCTCCGCCTCCGCCTCCGAGCCCTCGGAGACCTCGGAGACATTATATCTGTGTAGCTGCAAAACCGTGGAGAAGTAAAACTTGGCCTTCATTTCAATTCATAATTGGATATGTGTGTGTTGTTCTCATAAGGATTGTACTTATGTAGGACGACTGCAGGTTCAATACAACCCTGGACATTGGGCTTTGTAGAGTCATAGTATGATACTTCAATACTTATATAACAAACGGTATTGGTACTGTATGCTAAAGCGACTATGCAGAAACTGTCATCGGAAGCGATAGGCGTAAGTCTGCTGGCTTTGAACAAAGACAATGGTGCAGTCCGGGTTTCAATTCATGTTTGATCAAACGGAGACGCATAAAGAGCATCCAACACGGTTCAACAAGATCTCCTTCACGGTTCGCTGCATCATCGCGTGCCGTTATAGGCAAGAGTAGCCTGAGCTCCCCCACTTGAACCTCTATAGAGTATATAGTACGATTTCGGCACATACAGAAATACACACCGCGATCCACTGGAAGGCCCGGTTTCCAAGATGGAGGGGGGTCAACTTTAGGGATTATGTGAGGAATTATGACGATTATACACCGATTAACGAGTCTATGATGATGGGAGTAATCGTCATCGCATAACCTCCTCCGGAGGAGGTTATGCGATTATAAACGATTACGGAGATGATTATAGCTTCCTCGAACACGGGTCGACGGCTTTGTTATTACCCAATGGAGATCCTGATAGCCTACAGAAAGAACTTGGCATGAGAGGCAACACAAGAGAGTGTCGTGAACGTTAAGGTCAGTTGACTAAGAAAGATGCTACAATGCTAGCGCACTACCTCAGAAGAACATGGGTAATTCCGTGGCGGAGACAGTAGACAGCATATTTCCCAAGAGAACCAAAGAGAACTTCATCTGCAACCAGTGGAGAGTACAGTTACCGTCACCGGGGTGCCCTGGGTTTTGCCAGATTGCCGGGTCGGGTGCGGGTCAGTATGTGGAAACCCGGCTGACCCGTCGCATTGCATATACACTTGCTTTTTCCGAAGTGCTGTGGTGGCTATATCCGCTGTTTTTTAGCGTCACTCATTCAAGTTTTAATCGCTGGTTGACCAATGCATCATCGATCCTTCCCCGATGAGTGTAAGGACTTAGAACCGGTGATGATCGACGATGACATAGCCAGATTTCAACATTTTAATTAATAATATCTCTGACTTTGAAAGGTTTCGATTAGTTCTCCCGGCAGTCCGGCTACCTAATATATAGGCATGGCCGAGCACTTTACCCGCTGATCCGGGCGAAAACACAGGCGGGCGCATCTGCGACAACTGTTTTAGGCGAGTCAAATAAAACCAAAGTCCCAGATGCCCGATTTTGCCTCCTTATTAGAGAGCCTCCGATTTTGATTCTATTTTTACGTGCCAAAAATAGTCGCCACCCAGGCGTGGGGTACCCGGGGTACTGTAGGTTGGATGAAACCCCAGGGCAGGTAAGTTACGGTTTGTACTGACCTCTCATGATACAATAACGAAAGCAAACAATTTCAAGTTAATCCATATCTCAGAAGTGCATCCTTGTCTTCACATTTTTTTGATCTCGCGGACTTCAGTTCACCTGAAAATGCTGCGTATATGTGATTGGACTTTGTAGATAACATATAGGCGGTACTGTTGGATTATCATCATTCACGGACATATAATCCCTCCCGCGATGGGAGGTGATTTCCCGGTAACTTAACGGTCCGAAACCCCGGTGTAGCAGCACTAGGGTTTCGTGCGCAATCTACGGTACGGGTTCACTCAATGTTCACTTCTTGAACCCGGGGGTTTTATTCACTATCTGGTATGCATCGTTTTCCGCGGCTTTGGTTGGACTCATGGTGGCTAAAAAGTCAAGAAATCTTCCTTTGAGTTCCAGCAAAGCGATGGCGAACTTCCCCACCACCACTTACACTGATTGGGCTCGCGCAGACCAATATCATAGGTCTTTCCTTATGCCAAAGGATGACGTTCTCCATGCTGCTCTCCAGAACAGCGATGCTCATGGACTACGAACAGAGATCTCCGTCAGCGCTGCGCTCGGCAAATTTCTGAACTTACTTGCTAGGTCTATTGGTGCAAAGAAAATCCTTGAGATAGGGACACTTGCTGGGTAAGCATTAACGTACTTGCGCCACTGTTAACCTGCCTTTGTAACGGCTGATTGTAGATACTCGACTATATCTCTGGCAAGAGCACTTCCCAAGGATGGAAAGGTTATCTCTCTCGAACTCAACGAACTCAACGCCAAGGTAATATCAGGGGTCATTATCTTACGTTCAAAGTCTTATTTCAGCCCAGGTCGCCTCGGAAAATATTGCGCTCGCTGGGTTGACCTCTCGGGTTGAGATTGTCATAGGTCCTGCGCTCGAAACCCTCGCAAAGTTTCCAACCGAACACAAATTTGACCTGATATTCGTCGATGCGGATAAACCTCCAATGACTGAGTATTTCGCGGAGGCGAAACGATTGATAAAACAAGGAGGGGTTATTGTGAGTAATATTGATAAGTTATCCAATGTACCTGACATATGATTGGCGTAGATCCTCGATAATGTTGTTCTGAATGGCGATGTCGCCAAAGAACAGCTTCCAGAGACGCTTTCTGATTATGACAAAGGGAAAGTTAAGGGCATTAAGAGACTGCTTAATACAATTAAAGGGGACAAGGAAGTAGAGGCTACGACTATCTGTACTGCTGATGAGAAGGGTTACGACGGCTTCATGTATGTCATTCGAAAGTGATTCGGCTAGCACTTGTATTTTCGAATTGGGCTCGTCAACTACTGCTGCGTGTGTCGGTCTGTGAATGAATTAAAAGAATCTGCGTGGGAAAAGGCCATTGACCAGACGACATCGGTTCCTCCTCTGGGTCCCTCCTTCCTTTCGTCCTTACTATAGGGTCTTGCTTCCGCGTCAAGTTTGCCCTAGCACCACGTTCAAGCTCATCTTCTTGCTGCGCCAGTCTGGCATTTCTCGGGATGTTCCGATATCGATCTTGGAGGCGCACAAGGCATTTGCGTCGACATGAAAACCGCCGTCGAACTCGTAACAGGATGGAAGCAGCCTTATTCTCATCCACCAGTTTAAGGATAAGGTGGATGGGATGGGGACTACCGACCCTTCGATCGGCTGTGGAGAAAAGCTCACTTGACTCAGCGGACGATGCCAAGGATTGAGAACCTTCGATGAATTGAATTGGAGGTCTCCTACATAATATCATCCTAACGCTGGTCTGGAGCAAAGGATATTGCTTATGGATTTAGTACTGGGTTCGGTTCTGCGAATACTACGGAGCATTTGGGATCATTTGCCTAACGATGATTGGGCCCATTGGGGCCGATGTGCATGAGGGGAATACGGGATCGGTCGCGGTGGGCAGGGGAGGGGGCACGGGCATCGGGGTGTATACAGGCAGGCATAGATCGTATCGGGCATCATCAAGAGGTTGCCTTGCATGAGGGTTTACGCGTGGAGAGGGTGCTGAAATGGCTGTTATTGGGGCCCTTGGGGTCTGCTGGACACACTAAAACTGTCTAAAACGCACAATAAGTACGGAAATTTGGGACCAAAGAAACGAACCTTCGGCGTGGGTATCGTGATTGAAGTCATGATCTTATAGTAGGCTACTCATATTGAACGATCATATCCAAATGATATAGTTTACTGCCCCCTCACGGAATGCCTACCAAAAATTGCGTGCCACATCATCGAATGCGGACAAAACGACAAAGCATATGAATTCTCAGGGAAACTTTCAAATGACATCTTCGACATTTCCTGTCCATCGCAAGTTCTGCCAGGGTCTGGTTTCCCATAGCGGAAGAATCGGTGCACTGTTGCCCTTGGTGGACTCGCATACAGAGAGCAAAACGCTGGTAAGGCAGTTCCACGAGACCTACAAAGGATATTAGCAGGGAATCTATCGAGGAGTAAGCATCTATCCGGTGTCTCTTTAGATACTTACCCGCGATCAATAGGAAGCATTTTGAACTTTTAACAAACCGTGACCTATGTTCCGGACATGGGTGAGATCCACAAATGCTACCGAACGCGATGCCTACCGAGGTGAATGAAATCACAGGAAGATCAGAGGCTCCGAGGATTCACATGCCCAGCTTCAAGATTTGCGAGCGATCATTTCTTTCATGGGCACCGTCAAGTATTTCCATGTTGTGGTGGGCAAGCCACGGCCGAAAAAGAGGAAGACACGGCAGCAAGAGGGGAGCAGGAAGCGTGTGTTCGGGCGATGGATGCCACGATGAAGTTCTCTGCACTTATAAGCAAGAGGTAGCGGATACTGAGCGGCGTAACGTTACAGTGCAGACGATGCTGATCTGGCTGGTGAGGCTAAGTGGTATGCTACTGGCTCGCCATAGTTGTGAGGGAATGATCACCACGACGATGCACAAGAAGAGAATGTACTTGACATTTTTGTCTAGGTCCTGTTGAATATGCCAGTGTCAGACTTCCTCGTCCATTGGACATTCTGGTATCGCCGTCCGACCGTATACGATCCAGCACTCGTCTGGGGGTGATGCCTTCAGGGTCTTCGCTTGCCTCGAATCAGCAGTAGATTTCACGGACGCTTAGAGACAGTATGGAGAAAGCAGTCGACAAGTGCCTGTAAGATCATGAAAGTGTTTGATTAGTATGGGCAGATTGCTGTTCTTAAGTGAGAAGATCAAATTACGTATTGTAGCATTAATGGGGTAGTGGTAACCTGGGTCGTTGCCAGTCTTTCAGCTGGAATCAATATCGACCCGCCGGGGGTTCGATTCCCTCTTAATGCATCAAGTCTTGAAAAAAAAATGTTTTCGTACTCAACTTGCTCAAGATTCAAGAGTCAAAAGTAGGGCTGCGCACGAAAACTCCAGGGGGCGTTTGATACCGTTTTGTACCCACCCTCCCCGGGGGGTTTCTTACCGGTACGGTAATTTACCGTTTCTTACCGGTCACGGTATCACTCACGTGACCGACGCGGAGCCGTTTTTCCAAATTCTTCTGTACCACGCCGTAACGCTACGCTGCCCCATTGTCGTACCTCAAATACTCATGAATTCTGTCCCGATAGCCATCAGAATTCTCTGGATACGTCTTCTTACTTCTTTATACACATCTAAGTCTGAGGATCCTTCTCCCCAATCCAACATTAGCTCTAAGAAATTTGCAAGCTCGTTGTCAGGAAGAGGCGCCATGCTTTGAGCTGCGACTGCTCTGCAAAGTGAAATCACAAAAAAATTGGTGGTAATATTGTCACATGGTCAGTAAGTTACCTCAATGAAATATGCTCCATTGACCTGTAGTTTCTTACTGGTAACTTACCGGTCCGAAACCGGGGTGTATCAAAACTGGGGGTTTCGTGCGCAACCCTAGTCAAAAGTCAATATCTCCCGGGGAGTCCCCAGAGGCGGCCCCGGGCCCCGGGCTGGCCTTTAGGCTTTGATAGAGTATTAAAATTATAGATATACCCTCTAGGAAACCGTACGATGTAAGACAGGAACCTTTGGTACTAAAGCCTCACCTAAGAGGGACCGCAAGTTAGTGCGCATGCCACAAGCTGTTGTATAATGAAAGATGGAACCGAGTACTTTTTTCAGTGAACTCTTCCTGCGACTCAGCTACCGAGTACGTGACTTTCTGACACTTGGAATATCGCAGTCTCGAACGTCCAACGATACCTTACGTGCGGGATTATCCCAACCGCTCCAAACGTTCTGATAGCTTAGAGCGTCTATGGTGTACTTACAACTCTACCATGAACAAAATACAAAAAACTACAGTTAACCACTAGATGATTCCACAGCAAAGAGATCTAAGCACAGATGTGACAGCACAATATTAGGACGGTATAAACTTAGTGGTATACGCAGGCGGAAATGTTATCCAACTCTCCGAGCGCGCCTGCTTTGCACTCAGCCTTTTTTGAGGATCGACGCACACAATTGTGCGCAAGAAAGCACAGAAATGCTCCCGTTCACTGCTTGCAGGCGATGGGAATTTCCATACGCCTTTAACGATCGCCTCCAAAGAAGTCATTTGGAGCGGGAAGGGACATCGGAAGGTTCCTGGAAGATACACATACTAAGCCAAGTGCGATTAGCCATTGGAGAAACGGCTCACCGTCTGCATCAAAGAACTCTGCACTCCGTCCCTTAGTTCCGGGATCCCTCATCCATTGCGGAACCTCAGCAACCTGCTCGATAATCTGCAACAGGTGTATCTGGGCGGGTGTCATAGCCTCATAGTCTGGCGTGGGTTGGAAGAATGGATCAAAAAGCGGTCCTCCTGTGGCGAACTCGTACACCAAGCAACCTAAATTCCAGATGTCGATCTTCTCGTCCCAATTCAAACCCAGAATAACTTCGGGTGCGCGAAGGGCATGTGGCTGAACGTTCGATGAAGGGTGGCGTTTGTGAGGAAGCTGGACGGCGTGGCCTAGGTCTGCTAGGACGAATCTCCACTCTGATTGGTCGAGAGAGAGGGCATCGGGTAGGGACAGGAGGATATTTCGTGGCTGGACGTCGGTGTGAATGAGGTGTTGGGAATGAAGAAAGTCGAGTGCGGCCAAGACGTCGGTCGTGATGCGTCTCACGATGGGTAACGGTAGCCAGCGAGTGCCAAGGTGCTGTCTGAGGTCGCTGAGAGTTGGGCCGTGAAGGGAAAGTACGAGACATGTCGACGGAAATGGGGCGGGTACGGGGCGAACAGGGAGCGCTGCAGGGAGAGAGACTCGCCTGTCCCGTTGTCGCTCACCGAAAGTGAAATGGTCGAGCAGTTTGACGAGCTGGTCTGGTGGGTGATCCAGTCGCAGATGCTTCGACAGTTCGCGAGTCCGTTCACCCGCTGTCGTGAGGACCTTGATGGCGACCAGGTTCGATGCAGGCGGCGAGAGATATGTCAAGGCTGTATGGAAGGAGGCGCCGTCGTCGACATCGTCCTCCTTATCCGTCTGTGCCAACCAGACCGTCGAGAACCCCCCGTTCCCCAGGGGCCGTACCAACGTGTACTCTGACCCACGGCCCAGCACAGTCCCAGGCGATAATTCCGGTGCCTGTGTAGGCGAAGGCGACTTGGGTGGACATGTCCTTGAGGGCGATTTCTGCTTGGACGAGTGAGTGAAATTATTGAAACGAATGGCAAATTTGAACTTGAGGGCCGGCGTTGTGAAGAAAGGGAAGAGCTTAGGACGCTTTGTGTTCTTGGTGGTCATTGGTGAAGCAGCTGCACATGTGGTCGCTGGGCATGATTCAGTTGGTGAGAATTCATGATAGAGCGGTCAACTGGATCAACTGTCGAGTTACGGCAATTGCCGATCATCGCCTCTCTTCGTCTTTCTCTTCTCTCATAAGGGTCCTATCACCTTCTATCACTTGAACTCATTCTCTTTTTTTTGCTGGTATGTCCTTGCCCATCCATATCTCACGTTGGTTTGCTAAACCTGAATCACCCAAACAGATCGCCGTATCCTCGGACGGGGACTATATATAAAAACCAATGATGAACGGCCCGTAGTACCTGGTATTTAGCGCCTTGGAACGACGTCGCCTACGGTGTTAAGCGCATAGCCTAGAATTTCGCTAAGGTTCAAGTTGGTTTCTCCTTGCCAATCTACTCAGCCCAAGCTAAGAGATATCTTTCTAGATCTACCAGTCAGTGGCGCAGCTATTTCCTGCTTCTCTTTACATGGTGTCGGTATATCGTAATCGAACAGATAGACAATCAATGATGCGTGATCCCCGAGTCGAAGAATTTACCGTATGTCCGCGTCTTATAAGTAATCGCCGACTCCTTTCGGACCGAGCTCTGTATACTCAAACAAAAGTCCGTGTGCTCGACAATCATCTGTATACAAATTAGGAGGCGAAAGGAAACGTCCAGGGACGTCGGAGCTCCTAAACCACCGGGGACTTGCGGAGGATGGAAGCTGAAGTCTAGAATGGAGGGCTACATAACTCGGGCATCGTGAGCTGGAGATATACTATCTTGCTGGGGAGTGGGAAAGATTGTTGCCATCTTCTTGAAATCAGAAAACATACTGTGCCTAAGCAAAGCACCTTAGAAACAGGTGCCAAGTTTTGAGAGTGAATGTGGCGTAATTAGACATTACCCACCGGAAGCATCACCGGTCTTCCTGCCCATACACCCTGCATTATATAGTTTATCATGCATGGCACGTTTGAATGTGCTGCAAACTGTACTTTCAGCTTCCAAATGCCGGACTGACAGTTACCCATATGTCACATGATCGTGTCTATAGTTGAACTCAGTTATACTCCTTTTCTCCGAATAGTGTCGGATTACTACGCCTCAAAGTGACACTGCTTCCACTAACAGTAACATTATCGTCAAGAGTCATTCCAAACTCTCATACTTCCATAGTGACTCGTGGCAACCTCATAAATCCATGGTAGATGCACTCATAACTAGAATAGCCATAATAGACAGTCTGAACGAAATGATTACTCCGCTGGGTCTTGAATTCACTGATAATCAACTCCCCAACAGAGCGTGCAAATCTTTAAATGATTTCCCATACAGAGAAGTATGTAGCTACCGACGATTCCCAAGTAACTGCAATGCAAGCTCTTCATCCTCCTCAATACCTCCAGACTTCCGGTTGTGAGCGTTCTTCTGGCGCTTCGGGGGAGGGTCTACAGCATCGTCCTCGTCATCGGAGCTCAAGTCGAACGTCGGAGAGACATAACCGTCATCCTCAGATAACGGCTCCACGATAGGTCCATCATCCATCTAAAAGAAGTCAGGTCAACACGAAAAGAAAACGACTGGGTGGGTTCACATACCATCGCCACCTCCCTCTCCCTCTCCTTCCTCTTCCTCGTCTTCTCGCGTTTCTTCTCCCTCGCCTCCTCCTTATCCACAACATCCGCAATTCTCATTTTGCCCCTCTCTCCCTCCGCGTACTTCTCTCCCTCCTTCATCACGCCCTCCATCCCGCCCTTTTCCTGTACCCACTCCTCCGCATCAGCCACACCGTACGCCTCCTTCGCCTCACCCGCGTCGTTGAACACTATCTTCTTCGACGACGGCGCGTTCAAGATCAACGTCCGCTTCGCCCGGCCGAGCTTGAGCTTCCGGTTGGACAGGTTGTCGAGTTTGACGAGGCTGAGAGGCTCGGCGGACGGGTCCTCTTCGAGGTCGTGGTCTGCTCGTTTGAGGGTCATAAAGTCGTCATCGTCGTCCCCTGGCTCGCGGGAGACAAGTTTGTTGTAGTGCTCCGATAGGACACCTTGGTTTTTTCGTTCGAACATCCGATCGTATTTCGTTCGTACGGTATCAGCCTAGTGGACGGTGATCAGTTATGAAGTCCTTGGGAAGGGAAAAGAGTCGGTGGTATACCTTGGTTGTCGCCTGTTCTAAAACATTTTCTTCTTCTTCTCCGCTCGATGAATCCTCTTCCACCTCGGACCCGCTGTTTTCCTTCAAGGCTTCGGATGTTGCTTTAGCAGCCGTCCGATCAGCGTTCTTCTTCTTTTTCGCCATCTCCTTGCTGAGGAACTTGATCTTCGGCGTGCCTGGAAGGCCCAAAGATTCCGCGAACTGATCGATAGGCAGTTCCGATACTTTGAATATGGACTTGTCTTTGTGGAGATGGACAGATCGTAGGTAGGATACGAAAGCCTGCATTCGAGCGAGATCAGGCATGGGGAAAGACGTCTTTTCGGGATGCAACTCACCCTCTGACCGAGGTATTTGATCTCTGGATCTTGGAATGCAAGGTTTTGGAGTTGATTGTCGATGTTCTGTGTTTTGCTCCCTCGGACCTTGAGCT